GGATCATTGATCCATGGTAGTCTTCTGGACTAGGTAGCCTTCTGGATTAGGTGGGAGTAAAATGTTTTGGTGGTTCTGTTCCTTTCTCTAGTAGTTGGATCCAATCAGTGTTGGCAAAGCGAAGAGGTCAAGCCAGGGATTCTTGACATGTGGGGTGCCTTGACACTTTCTCATCCTGCTTATTGGATGAGGGCATCTGTAGGCTTGAGGTCAGGTATCATGCATTTCAACGTTTGGGCTGACTAAGTGATGTCAAACTCTTGTCCCGTTGTCTGGGGCTATACAGGTTTGAACGGAGAGAAATAGGCTCAAGTCAACCCTGACAAGATGGAGAGATTGTGAGTGTTTAAACCATCCGGGTCTTTTAGGACTTCCAGCTCCTGTTCTTGGAGCACGTGACATATGTGATTAGGAAGGACTTCACACCACAATTTCGCAGGAAGTCCTTCAGATGTGCTTTGATTTCCTTGTATTTGGAATGTTGCATACACTGTACAAGGGATGCCTTTGAAGATCACTCAGATGCTGCAACTGGTACAGAAATCAATTGCCTGGGCAGTTATAGCACACCATGCTGGATCCATATAACACCTCTACAAGCTACAGTGGTTACCAGTAGATTTCCAGGTGCGGTTCAAGGCACTGATTATCATCTATAAATCCTTCATAGTGCAGAGCCCGCCTATGGAGGGAACCACTTGTCTTCTGTAATTTAAAGATGCTGTAATGACAATGATAATGACAATGTTTTGCCATTGTCTATATTTTATTGTTTTATTTTGTAACCACCCAGCATTCTGATGGAGTCAGGTAACCTATATTCATGATTGTCCAAGAGTCATTGGGAAATGCACTTCTCTGCACTTGGGAAAAAGTTCAGAGAAGAGCAACTAAGATGATTAAAGGCCTGGAGACTAAATCATATGTAGAATAGTTGCAAGAATTGGGAAAGGCTAGTCTAGAGAAAAGAAGGATTAGGGGTGACATGATAGCAGTATTCCAGTATTGGAGGGGCTGCCACAAAGAAGACGGGGTCAACGTATTTTCCAAAGCACCAGAGGGAAGGACGTGAGAAACAATGGATGGAAACTACTCAAGGAGAGAAGCAACCTAGTATTAAGGAGAAACTTCCTAACAGTGAGAACAATTAATCAGTGGGATTGCCTGCCTCCAGAAGTTGTGAGTGTTTCAACACTGGAGGTTTTTAAGAAGAGACTGGACAGCCACTTGTCTGAAAGGGTGTAGGGTCTCCTGCTTGAGCAAGGGGTTGAATTAGAAGACCTACAAGCTCTATTCTGAATTAAGTGGCCAATCCTGGAAGCTAAATACCAAATAGCAAGTTGAGGTCGGAAATGCTACCTGTTCCACACACTGAGCCAGGTAGATTCAATGAAACTCACTGTGTGACTGGAACAGTCATGCCTTCTGTTAACACCTGGGAATGATTTGGGACTGTAATGGAGTGTCAGAATAACCTTGGAAGAGTGGGAGGGAATGCTGCCTAGGGAATGGTCAGATAAGAGACAGCATAGCCCACAGTTGCATTATGGGAACATAATTTTATTTTATTTTTTAGAAAGGATCCTCCCTAACTTACCACGTGATAAATGAGCTGGCTGGAGATTTTTTTTTTACTTTCAGACTTTCTGTTAACGCAGCCCCACCATAGAATAGAATTCGTTCCTCTTGTCATGTTTCCTATTGAGTCTGCTTGGGACAACCTAACTTTTGACAAGGTGGACAGATGTCACTTGAACTAAAGTAGAACAAAAAGGTAGGCAAGAAGGTTTTAAACTAACCTTCGGGGAAAGCAGTTGGTTTGGAAGAATCATGACATTTTAACAAATGCTAAAGGAATAAGAACCGTCTTGGGGAAGTGCTTGGTTGTTTAAGTCAAAAAAATGAGAAGAAGGAGGGTATGAAAAAAGATTCATACCGACATTTGAAAAAGAACAGGGTATATAATTGGCATATAGCCAATGCCAGAAGTCCTTTTTTACTTATTAATGGGGGAATAAGAGTGCTTGTGAAAAAGAACAGAATTAAAAGTGGTGAAAAGGAGAGAAGCCGTGAGATCCTGTCATTTATAGCAAGGGAGGAAGAATGGACTGGGAGAAATGTTGCTTTTATATCAAGAAGACCATAAAATTCCTCCATAAAATAATTATGGGTGGCAACATTTATTCCTAGATGTAAAATACATCTAGGGAAATGATGAGCTGAGAAAAATACTGAGGGTGATTCTGTTGAGTTTCAAAAGAGAGGAATGCTTAGAAGTTCTTATTGTGGACCAATAAACTGATGAAAAAGAGATGTACAGAAAAGATCAAGAGGTCTGTAGCTCTCTGCAGTCCATGGAAATGATTTAAAACCAAAATAATTGACGCTCAGCTAGAATTCCAAAATGTAAGAAAAGCCTAATTGAATCCAGGAAGGGACCTTCTAGTAGTCTTTAAAAAATTAAGGCAGGTGTCTTAAATTTTAATTGAAAAATTAAAACTGCCCTAATGAGAAGAACAAAATGGAGGAAGGACTCTGGTAAAAAAAGTGAAAGTCAATAAAAAGAAGGAAGGAAGGAAGGAAGGAATCACATGGTCCTGATTTCATATACTTGACACTCACAAGACACATTTTATAGAAAAGATAAAGAAAAAATAAGGGATGTGAAAGAGTAGTCTTTCCTGATGGAAAATGAACATTGACCTAAATGACTTTGATCTGACCAGCAGTGGGATAAAAATGTAAAAAAATATATATTGGGTACTAGTTATACCCGGCCACGCGTTGCTGTGGCTCAGTCTGGTAAAAGCGTGTGTTGCTTTTACGTCCAACAGATGGCACTGTTTTTCAAAAAAACCCCATGTTTTTACCTGTCACAGGTGTGACATCTATATAATAGTAGGTATATAAAAACACGCGCGTATTCGAATGCAACGTTGTGTCAAAATTTCAAAGCAATCAGTGAAGAACTTTAGGAGATTTAAGATTTTGAACAAACAAACATTTACATTTTTATTTATATAGTTTTTATTTATATCGATAAACACTGGGATCTTTGCCAAACCTTTTGGCTGTGGATTTCAATTGTCCCTGGACCATAGGAAGCTCAATATATTGCAAAAGACTAAATCCAGAGTCTAACCATTATAAACCTAGGACACTTAAGTTCTCCGCTCCTCCTCCTCCTCCTCCTTTCTCCTCTGTTGGTCCTTCTAGTTCAGTAGTATTTCAATAACAGCTGCTTCCCAGGGATTTCTCCTAACCCATCTAAGATGGTTGGACTAGAAGATCTCCAAGGTTCCTTCCAACTCTGTATTCTGTTAACTGTTAACTTGCCCAATCTAATATTCCACTCCTCCCGCTCCCGGGTTACATTAAACCACAGGTCCCATCATCTCCAACCATCGTAAGTTAGAAAATCAACAATTTTAGGCATCTATTTTTTAGATCAATCTTTTAGATGAAAATCTTTTGCATCCGTAGCGGCTGTGTTTCTAGCCATAAAAATGCACGTCCTGCTATTACTCTCTCCCCCCTGCTACCACCAGAGGAAGTGGGGTTGGGGGTTGGGGGGAGAGGAGAGGGGAAAAAAACCAACGATGCTGCCAGAGCGGAGAATTTGTTTTGTTAAAAGTACTCGGGCAAATTGTCTGCAGAGTTTATCTGGCAAGAAGAAACATGAGAACCGTATCACTAACAATTGTTAGGGCGCTCTTCTGCAACGGCCATACAAGGAGACGTTTTATCAGATTTTTTGCAAATGTTTAAAGGGCAGTTAATAATCAGGCTTGCATGAGCTTGGAGCCATCAAGGTAAAGAGAACACCAAGTATGGTTATGCTTTTTGGATCTTAAAGCGTCTGTGCCTTTTGACAAATCTTGAGGGCTTCACTGAACTCAACAGACCGCCAGCAAGGCCGTATGTTTTGAGAGAGAGCTATGCACAGTGTGTAATACATTTGTTAAAAATGTACTTAACGGTGTCTTGTTGAGCGTAGGCCTTGTTCTCTTGGCCAAACGCGGAGGAACTCGGAGCGCACGTGTCTCCAGATACTTCACGTTTTGAGATTTGAGGATAATGTATACAAATCTACATCATTCACATTCCGTAACAGCCATCTTTTTCTCTTCCCCCCCCCACTCCCCCCAAACTGTTTTGGTATTGCCTGGATAGAATTCTACCTTTGATGAACAAGGTTTACATTTGAAACATTTACAAACGATCAGGATTCATTTGCTTTTTCTTTTATAAAAAAATTTGTTTTGTAAACATTCTGCCACCACAAAGCCCAACACATTTGTTGCGATGCCTGGCTGAAGAATTCTGGGAGTTGAAGTCCACAAGTCGTAAAAGGGCCAAATTTGAGGACCCCTGCTCTAAGCATTAGTATATAGACCAGGGGTCTTCAAACTTGGCCCTTTTATGACTTGTGGACTTCAACTCCCAGAATTCCTCAGCCAGCGTGCCTGGCTGAGGAATTCTGGGAGTTGAAGTCCACAAGTCATAAAAGGGCCAAGTTTGAGGACCCCTGCTTATGAGTGTCGCAGCATCTCCATCATGGTCACATGATCAAAATCCAACCACTTGCTAGCCAGCATGTGTTTATGATGGTGGCAGTATACTGGGGTCATGTGATCACCATTTGCGACTTTTCAGACGGCTTTCGAAAAGCCAAGTGAACGGGAAAACCCAGATTCGCTTAAAGACGTCACGATTCACTAAACAACTGGTGATTTGCTTAACAACGGTGGCAAAAAAAAGTTGTAACGTCTTGTACGACTCACAATTGCCTTGCTCAGCAATAAAAATTCTGGTCTTAATTAGTCAAAGAATCCCTGTATTGCTTCCTTAATCCTTGCTCCAATGGCTGGAACTATAAACCAAAGAGAAGACTAGGGTATTTTAATCAGCTGTCAATTGTTTTTATTATTAATAATAATCTTTTGTATTGGTTGGACTAATTTTTTTAATTTTTATTTTTCCCCTTAGCGTTCTGGGTCATGAAACTTAATCCACAGCAAGCTCCATTGTATGTGAGTAAACTGTTTTTTTTCAATTTACATTTTCTATTTGGGGAGTTACGGCTTATCAGTCACCGAATCACATGTTTTCAGTTGGATAATTTTAATAATTAAAACCTGTGGTGTAATGGATGTAAGGGTATTGGCAAAATTTGTTCTTCAGCTTGAGTGCTTCTGGGCATCAAAAAATAAGGGTTTGTTGGCCCTTCAAGGCAGGCTGGGTCAAGAAATAGGCACCACAATGTTTCCAGAAATAGTATTTGATTATTGTGGGAGGTATGAACACAATCATGAAAACCTGTTCACAACCTTCTCTGGCCCTTTTGAAGGACAACTCAGTCAAAAGAAGGGTTCTTTTGAGTCCTTTGTCATACTTCATGCTTTCTATTTTCTGATCAATTGTTTTGCCTCCCCTACTTCCTTCTCAAGGATGGAGCTAAAATTCCTCTACAATTTTTCCCCTTGCTTTCCAAAAGGCCCAAAACTCCACGAGGTTTTGACAACCTCATCTCTAAGAGATCACATTTATAACCTGTTGATTTAACTACAGATTCCTGGTGATTTACAACAACAAAAAACAGTATCTCTGCCCATCTACGTCTTCTCACAAAATGGGCATGTTCCAGATTGCCTCCTTGAAGCAACGATATTTGATGGGACCTGAAGCCGTGCCTTTTTTGTTACATTGCCTATGCTTTAGAACAAGTCTCTTTCACGTGCATACCTCCATCCCACAAATATGATTCAGATGACCCCAACCTTGTTGATCCACATTTTAAGAGACCGAGTATATGATTGATGAACTTCAACTATATGCTGTTGATATGTTGTCTTACGAGTTTCTTTTTTTATTGACAATGTATGGGTTTTATTTGCAATATGGGGTGGCGTTCTTGATGTACTTTGCCCAAGAGTGATAATCGTCTGAGTCATGGGTCAGTATATCTTTTTAAATAAATACATAAATCAAACAACAGAAAAACTAAGATCTCCACAGAAAAGGTCAAACTTAATGGTTGAGTATCTGGATGTGTTTGATTGGAATACATTTGATTGGAATGTTGAAGAACGGAACCTGCACTGCTTCTCTTTTGACATGGCCTTCCTTTATTAATCTCATTCGATAAAAATGAATGCTTTATAAGCTAGGCTTCTTTTGATCCGTTATTTATCTTGTGGCAAGACGTAACCAAATGGAGAGGTGGGAGGCAAATATTTCTTGGATGACAAAGGAAGGCTCTGTTTTTACAGCTAGGACTGCCTCAGCAAATGCCTGAAGGTGATTCTATAAGTAAACTGCAGATCTAGCTGCTCATCTGTCACCCTTTTTTGTATGAAAATATTTGGAAAGCAGAAGAGGCAATGCAGGAAGTCCAGGGATAATGCCAAGAGGGATTTGTGTGAATGGACGAGGGGAAAAAAAAGGGCCTTACAGGTTTGAATCATTCTTTTCTTATCTTGGAGAATGAGATTGAGGGAGCTAGGTATGTCTAGACTATCACAGAGAAGGATTAGGGGGGACATAATAGCTGTTTTCCAGTGCTATGAGGGCCTGTCATAGAGAAGAGAGGGTTGACTTGTTCTCCAAAGCACCAGAAGGCAGGACAAGAAACAATGGCTCAAAGCTTGTTAAAGAGAGATCTGACCTAAAAATAAGGAGAAATTTCCTGACAGTGAGAACAATTAACCAATGGAAGAGTTTGCTTGCTAGAGTTGTGGGTGCTTCATTGCTGGAGATTTTGAAAAATAGATGGAACGACCATTTGGCCTGGATGGTATAAGGTCTGCTGCTTTGAGCAGCGAATTGGACTAGAAGACCTCTGATGTGTCTTCCAGTCATATGATTCTATGTTCTATGTCAGGGGTCTTCAAACGTGGCCCTTTTATGACTTGTGGACTTCAACTGAGAAATTCTGGGAGTTGAAGTCCACAAGTCATAAAAGGGCCAAGTTTGAAGACCCCTGTTCTATGTAATGTACAATCAGATCTACCAATCAACAAACCCCAATCCTGCTCACCATTAGCTGAACTGGCAAGGGCATTTATAAGCTGGAAGACCACAGGTATCTCACCACCAGCTTTAAATACCAAGAGGGGTCAGTTCTAACCCAAATAGCTCGGGAAGAAATCAATAATGCAATTTCATTGGTTTGAGTGGCGTATCATATTAACCCACAATGTCATTTTCCCCCTTTGTTTTTCTTAGCCTATTGCAGCAACCCAGGCCATTGTAGTTTATTTGATAAGCCATAATTAGGCACGTAGCATCATACGAAACATGAACCTTGCTATGTCATTGATCTTTAGGAATTTTTAACTGAAGCTAAAGTAGTTTGGCTTTCAAAATTTATACAGGGATGCTGATGAGGTTTTCTTTTAACTCAAGGAAGAGAATCATCTCTTTAACCCCTGACTGCAAAATGAAGCTGCAGGGAACGATGGAAACTGTTTTTGCATTGGTTTGCAATGTGTGGAGTGAAAGCTTACCAACCTGGGTGATGTCTGGAAGAGAGGCAGTTTTGCTCTGACATCCCAGAATTCCTTTAACTTATCCAGAATCCTTTGCAACAACTTATCCCGGAGTTCTTCATGACATGCAGAAGTGGTTGCTGCATGGAAAACCTCTGGATTGAACTGTTGAGCTTGTTACGCGTTTCTTTCAGGGGAATTCGGGACCCAGTTCAGTTTTCATCTCTGCTTAACTTTTTCCCCTTTTCTCTCCTTTTTGCCCCCTCACTCTCAACCTTGGTTGAGAGCAATGGACTGCCACCCAGTGGCCTCTATTAAACCTTCCTTTCAGCTTTTAATCATGATCTCCCCCAGACTTCTTCTCTTGTCCCTGTTTTCCCCAGCTTTGCTGGCTGAGGGATTCTGGGAGTTGAAGTCCACACATCTGCGAGTTGCCAAGGTTGAGAAAGACCGGTTTAGAAAACTTTGAAAGTCCCAAAGCTTCCCCATGAGAGGACAATGGATTCTCCCCACCACCACCACCACCACCACTATTCTTTTTGGTGTTTTAGAATAAGTTCCCCATTCAAAAAATAAAATAAATACTTTTTAGCTAGTTTGCTTCATCAAAAGCTCAAGAATGTTAGTCACATTCTGTGTGACTTCATTGCACTTCTTTTGAATCAAAAACAACAGGCCATTTTAGATACAGCAAACTCTTCCTACCAAGTTGGATGCTCTTAATAAATGTTGCCTCTGGCCGTTGCAACCTGCTTGTCAAACTTACCTGATGAAAGGTGTCAGAGAGATTTTTATGTACACCTTCTTGGAAAATTGTCCTTGAGTATCTGTGATACAGTTTCATAACCAGCTGTGAGGTGATGGGTTGCCAACTGTCCCCAGTAACTTCACAGTTTGATATTAATCATCCGACGCTATCAAGCAGAATGAACGTGTTATGAGCAAGTGTTGAGTATTTGTTTTCTGTTTGACATTCTACATTTAGTAATACTAATGAAAAAGCTTGCCCTTCAGCCTAAAACAAAACAGCCCAAGCCATTGTGTTGACGTGTAAGATTTCCTTAAATTAGTTGGAGATTGGAAATAGACTGACATTTCTCTTTAAGTGGTACAACATGTGTCAAACAACAACATTTTCCAGTTGCACGATCCTTGCATTATCTGTGCCTCACAAACGTGCTTGCTGGTAATTGGCTTTCTCTGAACAGTTATGGAATTGAATGAAAACTTTGCTCTTTCTTCTGATCCAGGAGAAGGTACTTCCAATTATAACTCCTAGGGTTGGGGACTCCTGGCTTAAAGGACTCTGTTATTATACCCTATAACAATAGAGTTCCAACATTTCTCCCAGTGTCTTCCCTTGACATGTCCTGATGATCTTTCTACCAAAGAGAACTTAATTACTGATGGGCTGTGAATTGGGTGGATGGACCTTTATATCAGAAAGATGTTTTGGCATCAGTTCCATATTGATTCCCTAATACTGGACTTTGTAAGGGATGACCAGGCTGAGCCAGAGGGCAGGGTGAAAGCCATCACCAGTTTGAAGTCTCTATGCCAGGGGTCTTCAAACTTGGCAACTTTAAGACTTGTGGACTTCAACTTCCAGAAGGCTGAGGAATCCTGGGAGTTGAAGTCCACAAGTCTTAAAGTTGCCAAGTTTGAAGACCCCTGTTCTACGCCCCCGTAAGAGACCTAAGTCAAACCCTCTTTGAAGTCTGTTGTCTCTTACCTGGTGCCCATTCACCTTGACCGTTAGTAGATCAGATTCTTGTGTATAGACAGCATGGGATAAACCCATCGTGCTTTTGAACGCTATCCTGGCTCCTGACGCCTTGCACCTGACAGGTTGTTCCTTTCATCAAAGGTTCAGAATTCCGTTGAGAGCCAGTTAGGTGAGATGGGCAGTTTAGAAACTTAATAAATCATTAAAAAAAAGATTTAGAGGACAGGAATCAAACGAAAACCTGCTTATTCAACCAGCAGAAACCCTCTTGAAACCCCCATTTTCCCGCTGCCCCCAGCCCCTTTTAAAAATCCTCCCGCACCTCTCCAGACACACCTTTTCTGAAAGATTTGTGACTCCACAGGAAAGCTGGCTATTTTTTAGCGTCTGTCGAATGGCGGAAAACGATCTGTTTTCATTGGCCGCGGGGCGCCAAGCCAAGTCAACGTTAGGCAGTCCAAACTAGGAACGAAATTAACTTATACTTTTGTTTGCTTGTCTGGGCCAGAAGCTCGCTTTGATCTCGGGAGCCTTTTTCCTCCAAACGAGACTTGGCAAGGGCAGCCAGTCATTTGTTAGCTGCTTTAAGTGAAGGGGGTTATAATAATCACCTTGTGCGGTAGTGATCTCTAACAGATGACATTATTTGGGTAATAATAAACCAGGAGAAATAAACACGCTGGAATTAAATGGCTCTTTCAGAGCTCAAGGCAACTTTACTCTTGCGAATGGGAAAACTCTTCCTGGATGGCAAAAATTCCGGATTTGTTTAAACCGGGATGCCTGGGACAGTGATTCATAGATGAGCCTGTGTTCCTAACAGGCTGATTGGGTGGGTGGGAAATACAGGTAGTCCTCAGGTTACGACCACAATGGAGTCCCAAATTTATGTTGCTCAGCAAGACATTTGTTAAGTGAGTTTTGCCCCATTTTACCACCCTTCTTGCCACATTTGTCCGAAATGGTATAGGGTTTCCTGCCTGAGCAGAGGGTTGGACTAGATGACCTCCAAGATCCCTTCCAACTTTATTATTATTATTATTATTATTATTGTTATTATTATTATTATTATTATTATTATTATTATTATTATTATTATTATTATTATTATTATTATTATTATTATTATTATTATTTGTTAAGTGAATCCCTGCAGTTGTTAAGTTAGTAACACGGTTGTTAAGTGAATCTGGCTTCCCCATTGACTTTGCTTGTCCGAAAGTCGCAAAAGGGGATTATGTGACTCTGGGATGCTTCAACTGTCATAAGTACGAGTCAGTTGCCAAGCCTTTTCATTTTGGTCACTTGACCATGGAGATGCTGCAACGGTCGTGTGAAAAACAGCCCTAAGTCACTTTTTTCAGTGCTGTCATAACTTTGAACGGGCACTAAATGAACTGTGTTCAATCCTGTGTTGTTTTGTGAAAAAAAATGAAACGAGGGATATTTTGTTAGCCTTTCCAATTGTTTTTTTTTTTTTTTTGGCAAAATCATTTATAGGAACGATGCAGAAATTAATCAGGTAGAGAGCCTGAGGGTGGGGTCAGATGCATCATCAGTCTGGAGTCCCTACGTCCCCCCAAAAGAGATCTAAGTCCAGCCTCCCTAAAAGTCCACTGATCCTTATCTGGTGCCAATTTTCCTTGACCATTAATAGATCTGATCCTTATATACAGGTAGTGCAGAATAAAATCGTAATGCGTTCTGAACTCTATCCTGGCTCCTGGTTTCTTGTGCCTGACATATGATTTTCTAATGATTCTGTTCCCAATTTTCACTTTTTTTTTTTTTTTTGCATCATGGTTGAAATTCATCTATGAGCTTGGGTGGCTGATCCCAATTCACGCACTTATTCTTGTGAGTGATCTCCTTGACGATTACTGTTTCTCCATGTGCGGCATTTGTGGCCCATGGATCAATCAATCATCTGCAGAGAAAAACAGTAATCAATAAACGGTGTCCAAAAATTTTATTCTGGTTTTGTTTCCTCTCTTGTCTGAAAGAAGCTTCTGTTTTTCTGCCTCTTTTTAAGGCTGAAGAGGCTCTGAAATTTTGGAAGTGGTTTATTAGCACAGTTCTCTCAATATCTCTCTCTTGACCTTTTATGCAACAATTAAGAGCAGAGATAATCTTTTGCACAAGGAGCGGGGTTTGGCCTCCTCAGGGAATATTACGATTTCTATTATTTTTCAGTTGTGTTTCTTGCCCTTTTCTATTCAGCATAAAGACTCGAAGGCTACATGAAATCCAATAAATTCAAGAATAAAAAAGATTTTTTATCTGAAAGCATTAGCATATAAAGGTCTGGCTAAAGTGATGACCCTTAATTGCTCTTTCAAAGACAAATAGGCCACTCTTTCTCTCCATACCTCACTCTTGTAAACCATTCTTAGTAAGACCTACATGCGTTTTTTTCCCTTCTAGCACCAAACTTTTTAATTCATCCAATTTATCATAATAACATAGGCTATGTGACACATTATGGTTGGTTGCACAGTCACCCAAATGTTTAGACTGGATTTGGAGTTTTTATCCACCTATCCCAAGATCTGGGAAAAGAAGACGTTTGTTTAAAGACATGAAGGATGATGTCACAGGATGTAAGCTGTACCAATGAAAGCTGCCTTTCGCAATTGACTGATGTTAATTTTGACAATGCCAATGGTGTTCAAGTAGGGCTCCAGATGTTTTAGGATTGCACCCAGGGCTCCTATTACTAAATGGAGGTTAAAATTTGGTTAAAATTAAAAGTTCCTACCTTTCTCTTTCCCTTTCAGGGTGACTGCATCATCACCATATTGCTTACTGAAGATGACCGCGTTGAAAGTGACGATGTAATTTTTTATCTCGTTTTCACCGGATCCGCCCTTCAACACTACACCAGCACTAGGAAGCTTGATTCAGGGAGACTGGAAACCATTGCTCCAGGTAAGCTGGCACAAATAGACAGCATAAAACCTATCCATCCCTTCCTGTGACTCTTACTGCATTGGGTGAAGCGTGCATCTGAATGAAGGGTAAATACAAAATTGGCACTCCCCCCCTCCATAGGAGCAGCATTGTGCCCAGGGCATTGTATGAGCAAGTGTGGTTTGGTAGTGACCTGGGCTATAATTTGGGGAGAAAGTTGAGTAGAGGACAAGTACTGCCAGCAAATGACTTTTTTATTGGAAAATGGGGAGAATAGAAAATAGAAGTGAAAAACCAGGGAGAGCTGTGCACTCATGTCAGAAGCACCAAGGTGATTCCAGTTTGAAAGAATTAGCCTGTGACATCACCATCAGGGGATGCCCAGTTTGGGGCTCCTTTTATGCCACCAGCGGGAGCTGGAGTGAAGGACGGGAGCTCAACCCCGCCCCACGGCAGCACTCGGGTCTCAAACACAAGCTTGCTAACCTCCAACTTAGCATCCTAACCGCATGAGCTCCTACAGCATGGGGAACCAAGCTTCTGGAACTGAGTTCACACAACAACCTTTAAGCCAAAATCCAGATTAGTAAAACAGAGTTGGCCTTATGACACCAAACAAGTTTTGCTTGAACCAATAAGTTGCATTGTCAACAAGCTAATGCCAAGCATCCTGAACCACTGAGCCTCCACAGATTGGGTGGGACATCACTGGTGAGGAAATTGTTTTGGAAAACAGCGTGGCATCCAGAGAAGATGGTGCCCTTTGCCCATTCTAGAAAAACTGTAGGGCTTTAAAAGAATTGCTGGTGTTAATGATGTGATGCCTTCCTTCCTTCCTTCCTTCCTTCCTTCCTTCCTTCCTTCCTTCCTTCCTTCCTTCCTTCCTTCCTTCCTTCCTTCCTTCCTTCTTTCTTTCTTTCTTTCTTTCTTTCTTTCTTTCTTTCTTTCTTTCTTTCTTTCCCCATTGCAGAGTGCTGTCTGCTTTGGAAACAAGCCTTATTAATTCTCTTTTAACTCCTAATAATAGACAATTCTTGATGTTTTGCTAGGCCTTTAGGAAACATAATTGTTAGCATTTATTTCATTTGCATTTGATGTGTCCATTTCAATGGATCATATTAAGGATAAACGCAAGGGTTTGTTTTGCAAACACCAAGAAGAGCTGGGTAGATGTTTCCGAAATGAAGGCTCTGCACAAAGTTGGCATTACCAAGAGCTGGATGTTGTCATTTCCTTTGCTCTGGATAATTTTGCTGCTTCAACTCATTGGAGAGGCAGGGAGTGGCGTCTCCACCCATTGTCCACTGGAAATTTTATTCAGTCATTTTTGCAGAGTGTCATGGGGTCAGCCCCACCACCTTCTGATGGAACTGGGAAAGACTCTCTTTTCAAACAATGAAGAGCCATTTCCAGTCTGGGAAAACAATGCAGATGTTGATAGACCAGTGAACTGACTCATGATGAAACAAACTTTCTTATGTCCCTACACTTTTCAAAGGAACAAGGGAGAAAAAAAACCAGCTCATTTTTTAAAGCGAAGGCCCCAGGAAAATCAACAGCCCAAGAAGAAATAAATGTCTTTTGACCCTCGTGCTCTCCTTTGACCTTTGCCAAGTCTTGAGAGTTTGAAGGACCCAATTGGGTCAGGAACTGCCCCCCTCTCTCTCCCCCCTTCTGTTGGCTTGCTTCCTTCTTTGGTCTCTTGCCCCGATAATTGACTTGTGTCATGAAGGGCTGACGTTGGATCTTGAAGCAGTTTCGGTGACAACAATTAAAGTGACTCAGCCTTTTTTGAGTGCTACAGGATGAATAACCAGTGGGAGATGGACAGTAATGGAGATGAGGCCCTTTGCTGTCTGCCAGAGAATTGGTACTGATTGGATGATGCCAAAAACCTACAATGGAAACACAAATGTAAAAGCTGCTCAAGTGCTGTGTGTAAATATCGTTTCGTTCATGGTCTAATCAGGTCTCTAGTAGCCCATGGCCTCCCTGTTCTCCCAGGCTTCAGTTAAGTCCCCAGAGGCTAAGGTTAGACATTAGGAGCAAATTCATCCTAAGGGGTTTTGCTAATTTCAAATAATTCTCCAGAACTATTTAGCTTTTTATGTGTCTTATAGAGATTGTGGGGTTTTTTTCTCCTTTGATAAAATATTCTTTGTAGCAGGCATCAAATAAGTAAACAAGTTGCTTGAAAGTAATAGTCATATGGCCTTGGCTT